AAAATAATTATAAGTTTCAAAAATCCTTATATTCAACCGATATTCAGTCCCCCTACATTGTATTATACGAGAGGATAAGAAGTCGAGGTAATTAAGATTCTTATTGATTCTATTGTTAAAGTTATGGAGCAAAGACGCCAGAGGCAGACACCTGAATTTACTGATTTTGTAAACTCACAATTTTTACTTATATCGCTTTTTGGCTATTTTAGATCTATAAATTTTTCCAAATTTTTCTGAAGAAAAATTCTGAAACATACAAATTTGTTACTAACCTTATATTCACTTCTGCTTAAATCATCTTTGATCATGCTTCACGAAACTTATTTAACAGCATATATGTTAAATAAGACAATCTTAAACGACTGAATTTATAATTAATAAGAAAATCTTAAGTCTATACATATAAGATGGCTTTATAAATAATGTCAAGATGTGTCAAATAAGAACTGTCAAATAAAACTATCTACACCACAGATATAGGAAAGTACATCCGTGATCTGCACATGCAACATCAAGCATGAAGTGCATAAACATTTTGAGATTTGAGACTCTCTTGTGTCTCCTCCCGAGATTTTCCTCAAGTATATGCTTGTTTCATGACTATCAATCGAAGCGCCATCTTAAGATTATGGTTGCATTTAATACAGGATCAATCATGTAACTTCTTTTCTAGGGCGGATATATGAAAAGTAAAATTCTTGTGTATTGTACGTGTGATATGTATATATACATATGTATTTAAAAATTTTCACTTTTCTCATTTCGGCCCTAGAGAAAACGTTACATGATCAATACCCAGAGCACCGATGAGATACTATTAAAGATCGTTAACCTTGGGCAAATTTTCGGCGGTATAAAAAGAGCCCCAAGGGCCCGGAGGTAATTAAAGAACGCTAACATTATCGACAATTGATATAAATTTGCTATTATTGACATAAATATTTGGTTCATATATTATTAAATTCATGATTTTTTATTATATAAATATTCCATAAATAAATATACTTGTAAAGTTAATATCCTATATATTGTAAAAAAATTACAATTTTTTCTCTGCAGTTATCATCTCTGTTAATAATCAAACTTTGACGATAACACTAAAATCACAATTTTAAAGAAAAATCGAGTATTATCGAGTCCTAAATGTATAAATACGTCTACTAAACTAATAAATCATAAATAAGTACAATATTATCAATTTTTAACTCTTAATCACTTCAATATTCACAAGGACGCGAACTTCCATAAGGATGTCGGTTTTAATAATAATCGGTGTCCAGAGCATTTTACAACAGTTGCAAGCAACTTTGCAACTGTAAAATTCAATACAATGCTCACAAAAGTTGCAAATGTTAAATGGAGCGCATCCTAAATTGAAAACCTCCAGTTAAAATAAACCTTTATGCATTAACTTACGACTCTACCAAAAACAGTTATAAGTTTCAAAAATCCTTATATTCAACCGATATTCAGTCCCCCTATGTTCTTGATTTTGATTTTCTTATAAATCTAAAATGCATATAATAGCTGCATTTAGCAGAAGAAGTAGCTTTGCAGCTGTTGTAAAATTCTTAAATATAATTGATTTATACATATAGATCCAATGAGAAATTAAGGGCAAGACCAATCATATTAAAGAATTTTACAACAGTTATAAAGCTGTTTTCTCTGCAGAACGCAGTCTATGTGTGAGATGATTTTAAAAATAAAGGCTGCAGCACAGACTTAAGCCCATTCTACAATTGCGTAGTATAATTGTAAATGGTATAGTTGTAAGAATTAACCAATCGCAGTTGAATATAACAAAAATATTCGACTGTGATTAGTCAATTCTTATAACAACCATTTTTAACAACGCTTACGCAATTGTAGAATGGGCTTTACATAGTGCATAAAGTCGGTTCTACATTAGTTGCAAGCTGATCGCAAGTTTGTTGCGACAGCCAATATGAAGTGTTGATTTTAAAATGTAAGTTTCAGATTGGCTGTCGCAACAAACTTGCTATCGGCCTGCATCTAATATAAAATGGGCTTAAACGAAAAAGCAGAGCTTTTATTGAATATCGCTCGTCGTTCATCGCTCATCGCAGTATGCAGTAGCTGCATCGGAGGCATCCGAGCGATGTTTTCGAATGCAGCCAGTATGCCTACATCAAAATGCATAACATGAACATAGCTGTTTATCTTTAATTAAGTAATTTAATTAAACGTTATACGACTAATACGTATAACATATATACTTATATATATAGATACGTTAAATTTATCCAATTAGATTTCTAGCCATTAGGGATGCATTCGAGAAAATGCTATTAATGTTTTTTGTGCCATTCTATCTTTGTTTTAGATGAATATATCATATAATTAAAATAACACAAATAGCTTTAATAATGTCTCTCCAGACACGGTCCTGCAGATTGTTCACGATTAGTTCAAAATTGAATGTTACATACATGTTGCATTCTTTTCATGTATTTTTTATTCATAGAGTCAATTTTTAATTACTATTGTATCTTATTTTTTATATATTTTATATATACGTATAGAAATATGTAAAAAGACGTTTATATTACATTGTAGTAATGTATTATTAATATATTATTAATATATATTTTAGTATATAAAATGTTTAAAGTTTCTGATATAGAGCTGTATCAATACATGATATTTATTGTTACATATAATTTTAATGTAACATTCTTGATGCTCATGTAATATCATATCTACATTTAAGTTATATAATATGTTGTAATCATTTGCTTGTTTTTTTATAAAATTATGCAATTTGTAATGTACAATTTAAAACTTTTTTAAAAAACAGCTATAAGTATTGTTTTTATATGATTTATTTCATTTTGGTATATACATATATAAAAATACATTATATATATGAAAAATACATTATGTATATATATAATATACTAAATGCATAATAATATATGATTATAAAAAAAAGGAATAATTTACAAGATATTTTATATTTTATGTAAAAATATATCAAATTATAAAGTATAAAATGTTTCGTAAAATTATTTTTATTTTGTAAATTATTGGTTTTTTGATAATTCTTTAATGTTTATATGTACAACTTCTACTCATACAACCTTTGTTTGGCACATTTTTGATAAGAGTCATTGTACTTTATTTTGAAAATATATACGAGTAACTTTATAATGTAATACGTTAATGCTTTCATTACATATGTATATGTATAATAATAACAATAATGTTGATAATTTTTGATAAATTCATGAACCATAACTTCACAGTTTCTTGTTAGCTAAATTTATGAGAAGATATATTTATGAGCTGTACGTTATAATATACATAGAATATTTGTTCCAATCATAAGTTCTTATGAATCTTACGTGAAATTATTAGTTTTACGATTCTTTCTAAAATTGCAGCATAAATTATAGTTTCCGCACTGTTCATTATTAGCGCATCAATAAATGAGAGTCTCTGGTAATCGAGATTCTCGATCTCTGTCACACGAAGGATAATGTAGAAATAAATCAGAGACTATTTTAAGCAACTTTGGAATATATTCTTTAGCAACAATGGTACCTTTATGTGAAAGAAGGCCTGAGAAAACTCGTTCTCGATTTTCTGATAAAATCTATTGATGAATACTCTCTTATGCCTTATGAAATGGGAAAAGATTCTCTTCTTCAAGCTGCGAGGAATTTAAAAAGCAATTTTTAAGAGATTTACTCTGCTAGTATCCGTAGCTTTCTTCCACTCGGATAATCGAAAATCTGCCGACGGAGTAATCTGTCATAGTTTGTCGAGTCAAGCATCGCCATCGTCGCGAAGTAATTTGTCTTTTAGTATATAAGATACTGCGTCACAAGAACGGGCAAGTTGAAGATTTCTATTTTGAAAGCATTCGATTTTTGATGGGTTAATTTGTCATTTCTTTATAGCGTGATATTTTAAGGGCCCTAAGTAGTCACCAATCATATCGTAATAAAAGTTATGTAACATGTCATTTCGCGCTTCTGACGTCACAATTCACAATGACTGGATGACTACATCAGCCAAGAACATTAATGTCCGTATTCATAGTCAGACCTTATATTTAAGGCTTCCTTAAATTTATCTTTAGATGCTCAGTAGCCAATAAAATAATTCGTAGAGTGTATCTGAAGATAAATTTAAGGAAGCCTTAAATATGAGGCTCGACTATGAATACGGGCATTCGACTTACTTTGGAATTACTGATTACTCTTAAGGCTGTCAGTTTAATTTGGAGAAAATATAATGCAAAAGCTGCAGAAATGTGTCACTCCGTTTACGGACACCTGCTATTTCATTTCTCCCGTTCGCGAAGATGAATAAATGCTAGAAAAAAAAAAGAAGAAGAATAGTTGGAAAAGTTAAAAAGAGACGCAGTTTCTCCTAGTTCTTTATAAATAATTGCACTCTTTTTCTTCGTCTAGAAACCGATATTCTTTACTCTTGTAATATTTTTCTCGTTTACCACTGTCATAACAATTTCCCGTTACAAACAAAAGAGATTCAACGTTTAAATAAAAAAATTTAGACATAACAGCAAAAAAAATGCAGTCCTATATACATATTAAAGAAGGAAGGTATTGTAAATTTACGTCTACTTAGATATTGCGCGCTTCCCAATATTGAAAGTATATATCTGTCACATTACAAAAGGGAGATTTTTAATGGATCGCGAATATATCTAAAAACATTGTCTTACAGACAAATCTTTCGAAATCGAACTCTTGTAATTTTCTTCACATTCTCCCATTCGCTTTTGAAAAATTCGAAAAGATCTGAAAGCGGATCTTTTTATGTAAAGATTGCATAACGCGTAAAGCGTGCATAAAAGCAAATTTTCTACTAGGGCGTTACCATGAGTCAATCCTTTCTGGACAGGACAACACAGTTTGACGGCGCGGCGCAGCGCTTGCGCCGCGCGAGGTGGATCCACAACTCAGTGGTAAAAGTCCCTCTCCCTATATTTAGTAACACGGCGAACGTTCAGTTGATCTGATAGTGTTGTGTCCTGTCTCGTTGTGAATCGCGAGTGCTCGTGTTTATTTTTCTTCTCTCGTAAGATCTTTCCTTTCTCTCCGCTCATCCTCGTGCTGTCTCTCTTCCTTTACTCATCACCCTGGTTACTCACCGCCTATATCAACACACCAACTTGCCCTTTCCATTTTTAATGTAAAGTCCCACCACCCTGTGTAACAAGCGAAGGAAGGATGCAACTGCGTCAGACGAGAAGTGAAAACTTCGTTGTACGAAAAGAAGTGACAAGCCTTCGAAAGCCTAAAAAGAGTGTGACTTCGATCACTCCGCACCCTTCAAGGCCGTCCTCTAAAACGTCGAAATTGATACAATCGATTAGATAAGAGCAGACGCGAGTAACGCGAACGGCTAACGAAATAGAAGAATTTCAGCCGTGGAGCGTTGTTGCAAAACTGTTCGGAGCGGTCAACTTTTTGAACGAAGGCTGCTATTCTTGCTACTATTACTCGATATCCTCGCTACTATTCACGACGACAGTCCCATAGGCTGGTACGAAGATCGTCGATCGATTTTAATAATGACAACGGGAATTCTGGATTTCTCTACTTATTGGAGTATTATACACATAATGGGCTAATAGGTACGTGGATAATTTGTTTTTACTTTAATTCTTTTTTTCTGATTACCTATTCGCGTCTGTGGGAAAAAATGTTGAGAGTAACAGCTTTAGATAGTGAACAGCTAGGAGATAAAATTTATGTTTTATATATGTATATACTACCACCAATTTTATTATGTCATCATAAAATTCGTGTTAATTTCGATAATCCCAATCTTTTGAATTGTACGGTCAAAGGACGACGTATATCAAAGATAGACGTTCTCAACTGTCAGCGTAATTATTATCTTTTTAAATAAATTCCTTGATTGTTTGAAATTTATAAAAAATGAAAATTATTCACTGCAAACGGATGTTTATAGATTTGTTATTTTCGCCGCGATGATAAATCCAAATGTAATCCCTTAGTCTAGATCCACAACCTTGCTTTAAAAGGCCATAAGCCGTAAAGCCTTGAGAAATTGACCAATCACAGTCGAATATGAGAAAAATAATCGACTGTGATTGGTCAATTTCTTACGGCTTTTCGGCTTAGGAGCTCTTAAAGCAAGGTTATGGACATGGACTTGTGAAGATTCTATTCGTCTTTGGTTGAAAATGACTACACTATCTTATATTACATAATATTTATATTTGGAGCATTTGTAGTCAGAAACTATTTGTTATGTTTGTTGAAAACATTTGCGGAAATAATTTATAGAACCCTTTTAAGAATTACTTCAACATAAAGCTAAGCCATATATAGATACTTTGTGAGATCACTTTGTGAGTATATCTATATATTATGAACTCATGAAAGAAACACTGTCTTACTTTAATATATTCTAAGATGCTCCTTGCAAGCAATTAGTAAATGTGTAAAAAAAACTAAAACATAGTGAAGCAATATAGTTACACGAAAAAAGTACTCAGCTAATTCATAAACAAGGTCAAAATATTCCATATTTTATACACGTTCCCCTAAGTATTATGATTATATATTGTATGGTTTGAATATGTAAATAATATGAAAATTGCAATCGCGAACTGTGCAATCACAAGCATAATATTATTTGTATAATCTTTTTTTCCTTAACTTATGAGAGAATGCAATTTTGCAATCTCGTTAACCAGGCAAATATAAAGTAAATTGTAATCATACTTTGTAAACGTCAAGAGTGAGTTATTTCTTAATTTATTAAATCATTGAGTCAAATGTAGTTGAGTCATAGTCTACAAAATAGAAAAAGAAAATAAGAGGCTAATGTACATAAAGCGTTATTAAGAAAAATGCCTGAAGATGAAGAGAATTAAAATATATAATATTTATATTTTATACAACTCCTATTATTTCGAACTTTTATTGAGTCCAAGTTTCCAATATTTATCATTAGAAAAATTTATGATATATACTTTTATTTTGAAGTTTCTATTATGGAATTATACTTATTTTTATTGTCACGCGTCTCGTTGGAGTTTGTTTTGACATAAACTTCTAATACTTCAAAATTATGGAAGGTATGTAAATAGTTAAAACAGTAATATCTAAAATGAGATTTTTATCTGTTTAAAAAAGAAGGTAAAGAAAAGAATGTAATTAATTTTATTTTAAAAAGGGTATTTTAAAAATATACATAATTAAACATAACTGTATCAACATTCTGTGTAATGGGAGGATTTGACTAATATATACAAAGTATATTGCATTAGATATTACAAATTATTAGTATGTATATATATAAAGAGTAAAATTATTAATTGATAGTTATGTAAGAGACAGTTATATAGAAAGAAGGAATCAATTAATAATCCATTTTCTTTGTAATATCAAAGAATGTACTAACGTTGTTGAAAGTATTTTATATTTTATACAATTTTATTGGAATAAGTTCGTCTGTAAATTTTTTAATGAATCCGTATTTGCTCAATATGGTAGTCTTGCTACATATTAGTAACTTGTATAAAACGTTTTTATTCAAATAGTACGGTTTTATTTGAACTTGAATATCATCCAGATGAACAAATTAAAATTATTTTAATAAAATATTGTTAACAGATTATATTAATGCTACTTCTCAATAACAGAAGCATAAAAAAGTGTCTAAACAAAAAATAGATAGAGCTTGATAAGTTAAAAAAGTCTGCATGGAAAAAGAAAATATTTATATTTATAAAAAATATATGATAACATTTAATTATTAATTATGTAATTGTTGATAATGTAATTATCAATTACTTTGTATTATTCTATAGCGAATTGTAGGTTATATTGATGAATATTTAACAAAAATTAACTAATACTAATTAAAACTTTTTAAATAAAACATTTTTAATAGTAATAAGAAATTGTAACGTAAGAATTATTAATAAATTGGTAAAAATTATTTTAATAAATTAAAATTATTTTAATAAATTAAAAAATTTATTAAAAAAAAGTCTTTTTTCAATGTTGAAAAAACTATCTTTAAAAAATAAAGGAATTAATATTTACAACATCAATAATAAGTTGAATTAGAACCTTATGAATAAATCAAAAGAAGCGCCAAATACGGTGCCAAGATTATATTTTAATATCTCATAATATTACTACGTGATTTTTAAAATACATTTTTTATTTTTTCAAACTGTGCGCCGTTTACACTACTTGTTTGATGCCTGATCACGATCATACTTGTCAAACGCTGCGTGCAAAGAGAATAATTTATTTCATGGAACAGTCGTTTTTCCGTGACAATCTCAGCAACAATAACGTCATTGCACGAAAGCTTCGAAACAAATGGAAATATTATGGTAATATCATGGCACTATTAATTATATATTATATTGAACAATACATGCGCAGGCGGCAGGACGTCCGCCACTCGTTCAATACTAATTCGTGTTACTGTTGTAACATCAAAATATAACTGTCATTTTTTAAAATATGGGAGCTCTCTGGAATTATTTTAGAATAATTTTTTAGTAACTTAAAGAAGTTTCGTGTAAATGGTTTAAACGATATTAAAAAATTTATAATTTAAATTAATAATTAATATCCAAGACTCCAATGAATAATAATTCCTATGTAAACTTAAAGTGCTGCAAGCTTCGTAGGGTGTTAATTGCTAAAGAATCATTAATTTGTTAATTTAATTTTCATATAATTTATTGATATGTTATAGCACAAAATTGAAATAACAGCAAATAATAAAAAAAATACATTCTTAAACATCGATCTTCTTCAGCATATATTTATCCACAAAGTTTTCAACGTCAAATTCGAATCTTATAATCACATAAAATCTCGTAAATTAATAATTACACAACACAAAAATGCATTTAATAATAATAAAAAAACGTATGCATATCTTTTTATAGGGCAAAACGAGTCCTTTATGCATGCTGATTCTTACTTAACATAAATCGAGTCCTATTTCAAATTGTAATTATGTATGCCCATTCAGATTATAATTACACGGCAAGTATTTTTATATACAATGTCTCTTCGTCTCAACAATGGTGTAAAAGTAACTACTAGTGCCATTGAAATAAGGCTCATGTTACATATAAACTAAATTAAATGACAAAAATTCACATTTAAATAACAATAATTGTACTAATAAAACACAAAGAAAATTAACAGAATTAATTATAAAATTAACCTGAAATTATTTGTTAATAACCAAAAAATTATTTAAGAAACTACATATAAAACTTGAGACATGCATTCGTTAACTAAAATAGTACAATAAAATATAAAAATAAGATATTTGTCTTTTCAAACGGTCAAAGGAGAAATCTTAAACAAAGGAAAGGAATAAAAAGTGGGAAAATGTGAAAAGAGAGACGAAGAAGGAAATCGATATTAAATGGGAGGAAAGAGCTTATCCGGCCCCGATTAAAACAAAAATAAACTTTATTTTTGTTTTAATCACAGGGTCAGATCAAAATTTCTTCATCGCCCCTAGGCATTTAAATTGTTGCTGCCCCGATTCAACTCTCTAGAATGTTTTTTTGGAATGTTCCAAGCCTATGTTTACGACAAAAAGAAAAGGATTTTCTGTGAGGATTATCCCAATTTAGTTTTGTTATAATGTTGTACAATGTTTTTATAATACACTTAGAAATTACAAAATTATATATACTTCATTTATTATACTAGAACTTTATGCGATTTTTTGATAGCAAACACATTTACCGCAAACCTACTCTTCCATTTTATGTATATATCGATGATTGCACGAAAAAAGCCAGCATGCCCCCTCTCACATTTCTTTTTGAACAAAATCGATACAAAGATTGCGAAGCATCTCGACTCGAATCTATAGTGATTATCGATCGATAGACAATTTTTTCAATTATTCGCGTTTTGCAAAAACAGCTATTTTTTAGAAATTCTTATCAAAGAAATACCGCCTCTTTAATCTTGCCGCTCTTAGACATAGCCTAGGTTAATCTCAAGTGTTAATCCGACTCTAGCTTTAATCAATAGTAGCACAGTAAAAAATATATTTCTGAAGTTACAGAATAAAATACGAAGTTTTAAGGAACCTCAATCCATTTCTTGCGTTGCGAGACTTTTTACTCGACTCCGTCTATAAATCTGTTTTCTGTAGCTAAACTAGTGTATACTTTAAAACTTAAATACATAAATACTTTACTTATTGAAATTGTTGGAAAAAGTTACTCACAAACTATTCGATCAATCAAGTAATACCGATGTAACATGAAGTTTATCAAATATTTTCGTTGATGATCTTGTAAGATTAATAAAATATTAATTTGAAAAATTTTTTATCAAATAATTAAAAAGAAATTTTTTGGTAAAAATTGTAATTTTTTTTAATGCTGCCATTTTCTCATTTTTTAACCTTTTTCTTATTTTATTTATTTATCGACAAAGCAATTTCATAAATGATAGGAAATTATTTTGTATTTTTCAAACGGGTGCAAAAAGTGCTTTAACTGCCATCAGCTTAGAACTTCGGCGAAGAGTTCGCATCTACATCTGTTATAGGCCATATGAAATTAATTATTTCTTGTCAAAAATTTTTTGTATATTTGAAAATGAATAATAAAACATAAAATTCAAACGACTTATGTTTAAATTAATTCCTTTGTATCAAGTGCATGAAAACTATAGTC